AGTTTCTCATACCATTCAATGCATTGTTTGGCTTGCGTAACACATTTTATGTATGTCTTTTGTGTTGTTCGATAATATCAATAGTTTAATAGGAGTAAAATTGGAAAACACTACATTCTCCTCTTAATCAAAAAACTGGTTTATTAAATAGATAATTTAAGATAGATACTAAATCATATTACAAGACGAGAAGCAATTATATTGTGTTCTTACATATAGTCATGCGTGGATTGGGTATAGCTTTGTATGAGGATATTGGGATTTTTTAGTATTGTTTTTTTTTCTTAAATTCTGCAAGGTTGTATTTGATGGTCCATGTTTGACAGCTGCATTTGTATTGGTGGCATTCTTGGAATATAACCAAGGGTCCTCTTTAAATGGAGTCTTCTTGATTACTGTTTTATATTGTGGAATAGTAGAATGGTAGGCAAATTCAGCTAATCAAAGTAACTTATCCCAACTCCATTGCCTGTTGGTCGCATAGGCACTCAAATATTTTTCTACTATGCTATTTACTTTTTCAGCTAGCACATCCATCTGTGGATGAAAGGCGGTACTCATAGCTAGCTTTGTTTTCCAGATTTCCATTAGCTTTTTCCAAAAGTCAGAGGTAAAGTGAATATTGCGATCTGATACTATTGTGTTGAATAAGGCATGTAAGCGTATATAATATTCTAAGAATAGCTGGACAAAATCAGTGGCTAACATAGCCTCCATTGTGGTAACCCAGTGTGCTTGCTTGGTTAGCCTATCAATAAAGATGACAATAGTATTATTTCTCGCCTCAGTCTTTGGTAACTTTATAATATAATCAATATTAATTCTTCCCTACCAGTTTTCTGGAATATCGAGTGGCTGTAGTAGACCATATAGGACTTGATTTGAATTATTTATCTGGTGGCATGTCGCATACCCATGTATATGCTGCTTTGTCTCTTGGAATAATTGTGGCTAATAAAATCACTGGGCAATCGCAGAGGCAGTTCATCTTGCCCTAAAGTTGCCACCTAGTAAACTATCATAAGCTTCATATAAGATTAATCTT